ACGCCGTGCAGTTTTCACATAGAAATTTATGACGGCCAGAGACAAGGAAATGTATTGAGACAGGTAATTTTTAGTAATTCACTGGATGAACCAATGAATGTTCGCTGTTTCTCGTACATTGTATTAAAGTACCGAAATCACGCAAATTTAAATGGACAAGTTTTGTCGCTTTCTCGTATTGCGACCGCAGCGGATACTGCCAACATAAAGAAATTCGATAAATTGATTGGAAGATTGATCGACTGAACTGTTATTCAAATTCGAACACCCTCTTCTATTCTTTTTATTCTGATTCTATGTTGGACTCGTTGACACCTTCTGTCAAACTTGAGTTTTCGCATGGAAAGTTTGTTTTCCAAGTTCATGCATGCTCGATCGCTTCATGGAATATGAATGAGGTCTAAAAATTATCTGCATAGCGAAATGTTTGGAACGCATTCTAGTTTTAGCATATTTTGAATCGAATACTTAACTTGCAGAAGGTTATGACGATTCTGTACAACGTAACTGAAATGGCTTCCTTCAGGCGATGAACCTGTCGAGGAATTCAACTCTGGTCAACACGACCAGCGACGATCAGGAATCGGTGGCAATTGCACTGTCGAGTAATGTGACATATGTGGTTGTTGGCGTTGTGTCGATCGTAGTTCTGTTGCTGGCGCTCATCCCTCTGACGGTGGACAGGAAATTTATGAAGAAGACCATCCTCTCACAAGGCAAGTCTCATATGTTGATATTCTCTTTCTAATGGCGAACCGTACTCGTTTGCTTTAGCGTTCATGATCAGCTGCGTGGTACACAGCCTTGCCGTCGCCTATAGCGGCGTCTTCAGACTGTACGTTCTGAAATTTCTGATGAGGCAGCCAATGACGCGTTACCACTGCCTGTACTACGGCATGTTCCATTTCATTTACGTGTTCGCTCATACGACCACGGCGCTGATCATGCTCCTAGCTGCGTTGGAGAGGTTTCTGGCCATAACCAGACCCTTGGTCTACCGTACACTGACCTTCAGGCAATACGCCAACGCCGTTGTGACCCTCAGCTGTTGCGCTCTGGTCAAGACGCTAGTAATACTGATTTTTGTGCTCGTCGACGCCAGACATGACTGCAAACCGATGTCGCCATTGTGCTTGCAGTACGAACTGTTTTCCTACAAGGTGCACATAGCTCATGTGTACGTTTTACAATTAATCAACATTTCGTCGTTGGTCACCTTTGCTACTGCCATCTTATGGAGCAAGTGGAAACTTCGCGCATTGGCTGATCAGGTCCTCACCGTCAATCACATGCGAAGGGAACTTGTCATAATGAAGAGGCTGTCAATAGTCATGGTGAACATCTTTGTCTTGCAGTTGCTTCCCCTGTTGCTCCACTTCGCTTTCGTCGCAACGTCCACC